TTTCTACAGTCGGTGAAGGCCACGATTGCGGTTGGCAGCCGGTAGAGTTTGAGGATGTCCTCGAAGGTGCTGGAGTTGAGGAAGTTGCCAATGTGCTCCTCCATCCCGTTGTGAACCAGCAGGTTCACGTTCTTCTTCAGCTCCGCGGCTGCTTTCCTCATCTTGTCCATATATTTGTCCTAAGCCTCCAGTTTTTCCTCGCAGATCTTCCTTTTACGTTCTTCGAGGCCGAGCTTCATGCTCAGGACATCATTCTCGTTCTGGAGTTCGATCACTGAAGGGAGAACTTCATCCAGCCTCCTCTGCATCTCCCTCTTTTGCTTCTCCCATTCCACCTTCTCCTTCTGCAGCTCATCCTTCTCCCTCTGAAGCTGGTCGCACTGCCTTTGCAAGCTGGCACGATCTCTAACGCTCTCTGCATACTCCTGCGCTAGAGCGTTTGTCCAGCTCGCACTCTATAATGCAATCAGAAGTCAGACATCAGGCACAGGACAAACAACTCAAACATACAACCGGAGTAAAATCTAATTATTTCACATACCTCTAGGGCATGCCTCACAATGGTATACCCTGCATGGCTAACCACCTCGTCCTTCGCCCGCATCCTATCCACCTCAGGAAGGGTAGCGTTGAGGAAGTGCTTCGCCCCAGTCTTGTTTGTCGCCTCAAACAAACTTTTCTGGTACACGTGCGGAGGGGTGCGCTCCCTGCCCCCATCAAGGCCTCACACTTCGACCTCTCCTTTCTCCCTGTCTTTAGGATTGATTTCTGGAGGAGAAGGCTGGGGCACGAACTCCACCACCTCGTCCCCCCTGGTTCCTAGCTTTTCCACCCTCCTCTTCTTCCTCTGGAGAGGTGCCATCTCCTCACTCACCTCCTCACTACCCCCCATCGTAGGCTCCGGCCTTGGCTGCACCTCCACAGCCTGGGCAAAGATGCTGGACAGTCGCCCCCCCTGTCACCTCCTTCTCAGCTGCAGTTGAAGTCTTTGACTTCTTCCTTAGCTTCTTAGGGATGCGCAAGCCCCCAGCAGCACCGACGAACTCGTCCATCTCAGCTACAAAACAAACATCAATGTCAGAACACATCAGTTAAGCTCTCACCAAAATGGCACATTAAAAACATCCACCAACCTTCCCCCAAGGAGCTTGGCCCATAGAGCTCAGCAGCATCTATCGCCTCCTGGCTGGTGAGGTACAAGATATCCACTACATCCCCATCTTCCCTCACTAGCTTCTTCACCTCCTCCACCTCATCCTCATTCAACTTATAGTTGTTCTGCTTGGTTTTCTTCACTTTCCAAGCAGACAACTGTTCCACTTCGGCATCCCTCCTACTCCACTCGGTGTCATCCACAAAGAAGAAATTTTCTTTCCACCCTTTGATGGATGACGGCCCAGGAGAGAATAAATTCCTATTCTCTTTGCTGGACGACCGAGAACCAAAGTGGTACCACCCCTTCTCCCCCCTACACCCAGCCTTAATTATAAAAAAATGTTTGAACATATTTACGGTTGGAACCCCAACCCCCCGAACTCTGCAGTATACAAGAAAACCTATTACTACCCTCATGGCATTTGGAGTTAGTTGGGTTATTCCTATACTATAATCTAATAATAACCCAACCAGTAATTCTGGAATGGGAAACCTAAGCCCTGCAATCAAATAATGCAAGTATATGGGCATCCAATGATTGCGGGGTGCTGAGCAGGCCTTTCATTCACCCCGGCAGGTCTAAGTAGGACATGGTGAGGAAGGTTGCAATTACCCACAAGGCCCCTTAGACTATCCCTGCTACCCAGCTCACTCACAAATCCCCTCACCTCAGCCACTACCTCTAAATCTGGGTCATAACACCCATCTACGCCATTCTCGGCCTCCAAAATATTTGAGGGGATTTCATCCTCCTCCTCTTCTATTACTCTTTGCTCCATTCTATCCCCCACCGTCCTCTCCGAGCTAGTTGGAGACGGACTGGTCTCCGAATCTATGCCACCATATTCCAAGGGCATTACCTCACTTCCCACTACACTCATAGCCTCGTCTGAAGACATCTCAATTTCTGCATATAGGGGGAGGAGGAACAAAGTCAGGATCCTTAACAATTCGAGCACACTCAATACATTCTCACTCTCAACCCTAATTTCCCTCCAAAAAACCCAAAATCAACCATAGAAAGGGAGAAAGGAGAACAGCATTTTGACAAAACCAAAATAAAAAATTCATAAACTTTACCTAATTTTGGTCTTGGAAACTGTTGTTGAAGTCTGGATTGAAGCGCAAACCGCACGAAACTGCAGAAATTTAGTAGCAGTTCAGTAGGAAATTTGAAGCAAAGTAAACGAAAGTAAAAAAGTCCCCTTTACAGAAGTGTAGCCTTTTATACCAAAGGCAAAATACGCCCCAACGGTTGTGATTAACTCAATCTGACGGCTGCAGAGACACCGTTTCGAATTCAACGGTTAACCATCAAACAACACCGTTTCGAACTTGACGGTTCGCTTTTCAAACCTGCCCGTTGGACTGTTGCAGTTATCTTTTTACAGCGGCATTTATTACGCACGTCATTCAGAGGACAGCTGTCGCATCACGTGTCGCGTCTTAGTCAGACTTCGCAAACGGGCCCACTTAAGCCCATTTAAACACTCCTTCCCACTTTTGAACATTTTAAATTTTGGCAAGTGTTTTACCTCGGCAACCGACCAGATGGCTCCGGCCACAGTGACTTAGTCACATATTTCACTTCGGCTACGGCCTCAGTGACCCGGTGTCACACTTTTCACTTCGACTACGGCCACAGTGACCCAGTGTCACACTTTTCACTTCGGCTACGGCTATAGTGACCCAGTCACGTTTTACTTCGGCTCCGGCCTCAGTGACCCAGTGTCACACTTTTCACTTCGGCTACGGCCATAGTGACCCAGTCACGTTTTACTTCGGCTTCGGCCTCAGTGACCCAGTATCACTTTTCACTTCGACTACGGCCTCAGTGACCTAGTGTCACACTTTTCACTTCGGCTACGGTCATAGTGACCCAGTGTCACACGATTTACTTCGGCTCCGGCCACCGTGACCTCAGTTAGCACTTTTTATTATGACTCATAATTATACGTGGCCTATGGTCATCTATTCAGGTAAAGGAACGGGTTTTTATTCCCCTACTCATTTCTATTTATGCACTACCCCTATCATTTCCAACGACATCATTCACAAGTAAATGACTTCGGGGGGGGGGAATAGTGTAAGGGTAAGTCCAAAACTTCCCACTCGAACAGCCACACAGCTGTTACAATGGACATCCTTGCATCTAAATATATCTCAATCTCCCAATCCCGAAATAACTGCTTGGAGATACATATCAAATCCCGAATATCTTGCTTGGCTCAATCTCCCGGTCCCGAAATAATTGCCTGGAGATACACATCGGATCCCAGATATCTTGCTTGACATCTTGATTGGCATGACGCGTGGATTCTTCATCGGAACATATAAATACCCCTCAAGGGCCACACCAAAAGGTAATTGAAACCAACCCTAAGCTCATTGTGTCTACGCTTTAAAGGTAGCCCCGATTATTGCTGACTTAAGCATCGGAGTGTCTACCCCAAGGATCCACCTCGGGGCCTTGCAGGTTAATCCAGAGTGCAGATACGGACTGAAGAAGGACATCTGGTTTGGTGCAGTTACAGGTGAATAATAAATTTCTAAAAAAAATAGAACTGATACTATACTTTAATATTATATGAAAATTATAGATGTGGGCTCATAAGGTGGAGTAGCCCTCGTATATACATAGCCCATATATATGCTTATTTGTTGCACATGAAATTTTTTTACTTAACAATTTTCTTAGAGTTTCTTGGAAAACAAATCATTATTTTCTTTTGTAAAGTTTAGGGTGAGTTTGGATTGAAAGAGTTAGAGAGAATAGGATGAGAGTGAGAGGACATTTATCATTATTCTCTTTGTTTCAATAGACTTAGGAGAGGTAGATACA